GGTGCAAGCAAGTGAGAAGCGACCATTCCAATCTCCCCTCTGCTTGCCAGTATTACTTCTCCATGGACTTACCTATCAAAAACGCGAATTGTGATCACAAGAGATTTGAACCGCCTATTTGTCATGGTCACGCAGATCTCTGCGCTCTTCTGCTTAAAAAAAGCCGATATTATTTTCACCTTCATAATTGACGCTTGAGTTGTGTCGTGTCCATGGCATGACGCTTCAAAAATGGTATAACCTTTTAGTCCTACTGAATGTTTACTCATTTATGGAGTATGGTATGGAATACGGGAGAGAGTTAGCTAATTACAACTCGTTGGAAACAACCAACCACGCGTAAACCGATCACTACACGATAATATATGCGTTTCCACTCGACGGGATGACTGGTTCTACTAAGACTGAGGCTGACTTCACCTTAATGTGTCCTTTAAGTCATTTCTTCTCGTCCTATCTTCGGCTACTCCCTCAGCAGAGCCTTATGCGTGTCGAATAAGGGACCAGTCGTGTGTGGTTCGCGTAGACGAGCTATTTCACCGTCTTGGCTCACGCCCGTCCGCAGTCGTCTTGGAACGCATGTGGACCGAAAGCGAGCCTGTCACCTAGGTCTTTTTCGAGGTAGCATTGGCGGGTCTCGTGGCTTGCGATGGACGAACTAACTAGCTTATTAAGTAGGTGTGTCCTGCCTGGGGAGGTCTTGCTGTCTTCCATTCGAGCACACTGGAAATCTATTTGATATTTTATCGATTTTTCCACAACGTTTCAATGTGCATCTCGCAAAATCTGACCTTTGTTCTCCTCCATGTAGTTGGATCTGGAAGACATCAAACGGGCATATCAGGCCAAGTACAAAAAGAGTCTTGCAAAGGCCATTGAAGGAGACACGTCGGGTGACTATAAACGCATGCTTCTGGCCCTCGTCAACTGAATCACCGGATGCTTTCCTTTGATTCCTATAAACCACTTTGTCTTGTGTCTGCTCGATTATTTTACTATCAAATGCCTTGCTTATACGATATTGTAACCCCGATTAACCTTGTTGTAAGACAAAAAAGTTCAAGTATTCCTCGCATTGACTAACCCCTTTCGATTTATTTTTTGTTAAAGATGGACTGTTGTAAAACCAATCCACTGAGTTCACTTTTAAATGCATCCAACTACCTATTCTTCTGCTTTTCGATGTCACACTGATCCTGAAAATCGTTTAAGTTCATGGGTGACAAGGGTCTAGATGGCAGCTCATTGTTTGAGCAGCTGTCATCGGACGTGTTCGCAACCTAGCCCAACGTTTTGATAGCCTACCGAAGGTTGGAACATGCGCTGAGGGAATCAGGAAGGTAAATGGCAAGCGTTAGCTTGGGGTTTCTTATCTTCCACG